CAGCACCATTATGCCAAAACTCCATAAGGGCAGTGATGCTGTGGATATGTTGATGGGTGCTGTCCCTGAAGATCCCCTTCCTCTGTATTTACTCAGTTCTGGTAGGGATCCTAAGGTCTCTGGCTTCACTTGTGGGGACTGCCTTCTCTCAGTTCCCAAAGTTTATCATGGGGTCTCTGTTTTCCAACAATGGCACAGGGGCTGCACTCTCCTTGTGTCTGCAGTTCACCTTGATGGTGGATCCCGCCCAGCTCTACTCAGTTCCAAAACACATGCAGGTGTGGGACCTTGCTCCACTTGCACACGTCCATGCTCACCTTTGTTTGTGGAGCCCACCCTCTTTCAGTTCCATAGGTGGATCGATCATGGAGTCTCAGTCTTGCAACAATGGCACAGGGGCTCTGCTACCCTTGTGACCTTGATCTATTCCTTGTTTCTTGATGTGGGTCTGGAAGGTTATATACCTACCTCTTAGTACTGTTTTGGTGTTTCCCATAATTTCTGGGATTTTGTGTTCTCATTTTCATTTGTTTCACATATTTTTTTTTATTTCTTCCTTAACTCAGTAGTTATTCAGCTGTATATATTTTAAGTGTTCATGTGTTAGAGGTTTTCCTGATTTCATTTATGTGGTTGATTTCTGGTTTGATACCTTTGTGGTCAGAAAAGATGCTTAGTAATATTTCAATCTTCATGAATTTGTGTAATCTTGTCTGTGACCCAGTGTTTGCTCAATCCTGGAAAATGTCATATGTGTACTTCAAAAAATGTGTATTTATGGGAAGGGATGCAGTACCCTATAAATGTCTGTTAACCCATGTGGTCTAATTATATTGTGCCCTATTTATTTTCTTTCTTACTAATCTGTCCATTGGTGAGAGTATAGTGTTGAAATTGCTTGCTACAAATATGTTTTTCTCAAGTCTGTTTTCAGGTTTCCTAGTAATTACCTTATATATTTTGTTGCTACTTAATTTTGATTAGCATACATTAATGGGTGCTTTGTCTCTCTGATATATTGTTTCTTTAATCATTACATAGTGTTCTTTCCTATATTTTATTACCTATTTTTGGATGGAAGTATATTTTAATTGATGTAAATAGCCTTCCTTTGGGTCCCATTCTCTTGTAGCTTTGTTATCCAAACCTTTAGTCTGAGCCCAAGTTTACCTTTAGAGCTAAGGTGCATTCCCTGGAGACAGCAGAAATTTGCATTAGTTTTACTATTCTACATATTGAGAATTTTTGTTATCTACTCTCCTAACAATTTTCAAATGTGAAATACAGTATTATTAACTATAAACACAACCATAGTGATATATATTATATCCCTAGGACTTACTGTCTTATAACTGAAAGTTTTTACTCTAATTTCATCCATTTTCTGCTCACACTCTCCATCTTAGCATCCATAAACCTATTCTCTTTCTTTGAGGCTTTTTTTTAAGATTCTACATTTAAATGAGATCATAAACTATTTGTCATTTTCTGATTTACTTGTCATAATACTCTCAAATTTCATCCATGTTCTTGCAAAAGGGTAGAATTGTATTCCTTTTTATAGTTGACCAAAATTTATATGTAAACATATATATATATGTATATTTGTACATATACACATACCCATATATATCACTTTGCATATCACATTTTATTTATCCATTCATCTGTGTACAGATGGGCATTTAGATTATTTCCCTGTCTTGATTTCTGTATATTATACTTCAGTGAACATACAAATGCAAATACCTCTTCAAAATAGAAATTTTATTTCCTTTGTCTAAATATCCAGAAGTGGAATTGTTGGACCATATGGTAGATCTGTTTTTAATTTTTTGAGGAACCTGCATAATATTTTTCATAGTGGCTACACTAATTTTTATTTTTCATCGACAGTGCATAAGTGTTCCCTGTTCTCAATATGCATCTCTTGTTTTTGTTGGTTTCATTGTTTATAATAACCATTATGACAAGTGTGAGGTTAAGCCTCAATGTGGTTCATATTTGTGTTTCCCTGGAGATAGTGATTTTAACATCTGTTGACCTTCTTTGTATCATCTTTGGAACAATGTCTATTCAGATCTTCTGCCTAATTTTTCAGCTTGATTGTTTGCTTTGCTTTTATTTTCTTCCATTCTGGCTTGTGGCAATGTAATTTAAAATTTGTGTGAAGTGAGGGAATTGTTTGTTTATGGCGTCCTGGTAGTTCTTTATTTTTATTTTATTTTATTAAATATTTATTTATTTATTTATACAAGCACTGGGTACAGTCAGAAGCATGGGAGGGTGAGAGAATTCACCAGAGCCAGAGCAGGGAACAGAACAGGCAGACTGACAAAATACACTGCTGAGGGGAGCAACGAGCACAGCAGGAGAGGTTTGTCATGCCATGTGGGACTCTCTTCTGGGGCAGGGGATCGAACCAGTGCTACAGAGGCTGTGGGAAGCTTCCCAGCTCAGCGCTCAACCACTGCGAAACCAGGGGAGGCCCCCTGGTAGTTCTTTATTTAGTGTTGTATGTATATTCTTCTCACACATGAGCAGATCAGTACTCAGCCAAAGCTTCAGTATACTCCCCTACAGTCTTATAGATCTATAGAACTTTCTTTTTATTTTTTCATTTATAAACTCATTATCTTGTGGAGTTTTTAAGACTCATATTTAGGAACAGGTAACCAATACTAAATGCATTCCGAATATATTTAATCATAGAGATAACATTGTTTTTCTTATACATAGCTCTTATAAATATCTTTAATAAAATAATATATTTATAAAATTACAGTGATTATTTAGAGTAAGATAAATTTTCACTGAAATTTATTATTTGAGTATGAGGAAAATGCATAATCTGAAATGACATTAATTTGTGATAGATATTGTCAGAAAGTAAAAGAATTATATGGTAGTATAATCAATATCTATGATTGTAATTGTATCTTTTACATGTAAAAGTAAATTGTTTGACAATATAGATCTATATTAGTCTTACTTGACCACATACTATTTGTATAACGAAATATATTTTTGTCATTCTTCCAAGTCCATGTATTTGTTATTAATTTTTAAAATAAGAGTTTATTCTTTTAACTGTGGTAACATTAGGTTTCTCCCCATCAGAGATAATTACCATAGGATACCTGCCACCAAACCATTCATAGTCCATTACCATAGTCCATTGTGCTTCCTTCCCTCCTTCCTCTTATTCTGTTAGTCTCTTACAAACTCTTCACCACATATTTTTTTCCGCAAATCTTAGCTGTTTCAGCATCCATCAGCTGTGTTCTTTTTTTTTTTTTAAGATTTATTTATTTATTTTATACAAGAACCAGAGTAAAGGTCAGAAGTGTGGGAGGGTGAGAGAATTCACCAGAGCCAGAGTGGGGAGCAAAACAGGCAGACTGATGAAATACACTGCTGAAGGGAGCAGCGGGCGAGGCAGGAGAGGTCTGCTGCGCCATGTGGGGTTCTCCTTGGCTGGTGGGGAATCGAACTGGCACTGTAGAGGCTGTGGACAGCTTCGTTTTGCAGTGCTCAACCGCTGTGCCACGCAGGAGGCCCCATCAACTGTGCTCTAATCTCCTAAACTGATTGAGACTGCTGATTTCAGCACACATTTTCCCTCTGTGTACGACAATCTTGTAAACACCCTCTAGGAACAAGCAATGAATGTTATTGACCTCACCTTGTATTTTCTCTTTTCTCAGTGATCGTGGTTTTGTGTTATATATTGTCTAGTAGCTGAACATCCGAGTTCAAAATATTGTTTTACACAAAATTTTTTTAAAGATTTATTTATTTGTTTGTTTGTTTGTTTATTTATACAAGCACTGGGTACAGTCAGAAGCGCAGGAGGGTGAGAGAATTCACCAAAGCCAGAGCAGGGAGCAGAGCAGGCAGAAGGACAGAAGTACACTACTGAGGGGAGCAGCGGGTAGCAGGAGAGGCCCGTGTGCCATGTGGGACCCTCCTCCGGTGCCCGGGGAGCAGCCGGGAATCGAACTGGCGCTGCAGAGGCTGTGGGCAGCTTCGCAACCCAGCGCTCAACCGCTGCACCACCCGGGAGGCCCTTACACAAAATTTTTAATGCAAATGGTAAATCTAGTTCCCATTAATCCATCTTGACTAATGGTGAAAATTCTGATTTTGTAGTTTCATTTTTCAAGATGAAATGTGATAATAAAATCATTTTCAGTTTCTGTTATAATGAATTTGCTGCACATATGAATGGATTTGCTAACTTTTCCAGCACCATTTATTCTGGATAATGAGGACATACTCTATCATCGTACAAATTTGTTACTAACACTTTAATATCCAAGAAAAACTCAATTTAATCCAACAAAATTAGAAATAACAATGTGAAATATTAGTGTTTCCTAGGATTTATTTAGTCTCTTTGTTAGTTATATATAAATTTTTGCTACACTTTATGTCAGAAGATAATAAGACCTCATCACTTGTTATAAGTGTTGCTTGATATAAATAAAAAATAAAATATCCATATTTATATGCTTTTCATTTCAATATTTATGCAAATCATTCACTTAAAGTTATACTTTCAATTTGGTAATAGATATTCTTTCTCTTCTTTATTCATCATTGCCCATGTAAAGCCATGGCATCTTTATTTTTTTAATTAATTCATTTATATTTTTTACATTGTTGTTCATTTCTGTACAATGTTTGATTTCTCCCCTCAGGTGTAATCCCCTTAAAATTCCCACCATTCCACCATTCCATCGCCCATGAACCATCACCATACTCTCTTGTGTTCTTGTCTCCCCTGTTTTGGCCCTCTTCTTTCCTATCTCTCAGGTGAAACTAAAGATCTTCATGGTGGCCATATACATTTGGAAACAATTGGAACATTAATTTTAATATGTAAAATATCAGAAAATCAACTTTGTTAGTACCTTAAACATGATTATAAGGCATACTTGTTATGTTTTCCCAAATCATCCACCTGATTTTTCCATTTTATCACTCTCTCTTCCCAGGAAAACAGTTGGTGTTTTTTGCTGTGGACCCAATTCAATTTCTAAGACTCTTCATAAACTGAGTAATCGTTACAACTTCTATGGGACGAGATTTGAATACAATAAAGAATCTTTCAGCTAAAAATCTTTCAGATGAACCAGGGCTCTAAAGAAGGAATGAGTGCAATTTCTAAGACTTTGAAACTCAGCTGAATCAAACAGTTTTGTCACGCCAAAGAATAGAAAAGTTTTCTTATTTATGATTATTTAAAATGGAAAATGCAAATAATGTGGCAAGATGATGGTTCACCTTACATGTTTAATCTGGAAGACAAAAAGAACTTAAAGGGTATTTGATATGGTGATTCAGTTTTCAATATGCAAATTAAAGAAAACTATTGTATGCTCACTGTTGATTTTTATGGCAGATTCAAAAGTCTCCAGTGAGGAGCTGCACTTGCTCACTGGGAAGCTGATGGTCTTGGTCCTCTTAAATTGTTTTGCTTGATCAAAGATAAGATTAAACAAAATTAAAATCTCATTTAAATAAATATATCTATATATAAAAACAGAGTAGCTTTGATTTGGAAAAACTTCTGGCAAATATATTAAGTGCTTGAAAATACAACACAGGACTCTGTATTAATACGGGTAATTTGTATCAGTATTTAATGTCCATTACTACTGATGCTAATACCTCTACTTGATATCTGACTTTATGCTCAATAAAACTTTTGCAAATATTGATATAGTATCTATTTTTATATTTTTCCTCTGTCTTGGGAAATTTTCTCCCCTGTAGCATGCATTAAATATAATGATTTAATTAATGCTTTTCATTCTCAATTTATTGAATCTGTTAAAGTTGCATAGTAATGAGGGCAGTATGATTACTGTAAATTATAATTATTTTTTTCCTTTATGAGCATTTTGGTCTTATTGTTTTTATTTACTTCCTCCCCCTACCCCAGCATAATTTGTTAGTTTTTAGCCTCTTAAGATACTTTGTTTAATATGCACTTTGAAGTCAAAGGATGTTGTATCTTCAGTATCACTGAGATATGCTATCATTCTCTTTTGTTACACATTGGCTTATGCTGGACTTTGAAATTATAAAACACATTTCTATTAAGAAACCTGTATGTTACTTGCTATACAAGAGAAAATACTTCATCAGTTATTTATATTCAAGTTTATAATCAAGAACATTATAATTGCTCTGTCTGGTACCCTGGTTCTCCATCCAGGGAATTACTGAATTTAGAGTTGCTGTTTTGAATACACTTGTGTAACCTTATCAATTTATGTATCCTAATCATTACAGTGTTAATTCAATGGGAAAAAAATACATTTCACTAACATAGTAAGAATTAAAGCATTTTTACTATTTAGTGATTTTTTTTTTGTAGACATCTGTCCATTGCTATCAAATATAGCACATTGTTAAAATTGGCAGCACAGATAATCTTGCCTTTGCTAAAATTTTGCATGATATGATAGATGATACTATATTTTTGGTCTAATTCACCAATCCCAATTAACTTTGTTAAATCACCTTGCATTGAATGCCCATAAACATATTACTTATAGATATTTATACCTCTCCTTGGGATTCTTTCTTCTGCTCTGTGGAGAAAGGTTAAATCAGGAAAAGATAGGGAAATGTGCAATGCTCCTCCAAATTCAGTTCTGAAGGCATATTTTCTAACCAGCACATCTTTTCTAGGATTTGCTTTGGTTTAGTTTTGTGTGTACCTTTGTTTTTTTGTTTTTTTTTTTTCTGTATTCCACATATAAGTGAAAATTTTCCACTTATGTCTTTCTCCTGCTGACTTATTTTACTTAGTATAATCCCCAACCAGTGCATGGTAACATTTTCCAAATTAAAAAGAATCTTTATAAAAATGCATACCAGAAGAAACATAACTGTGTGTAGACTTTGTATGCAATAGTGATTCTTTACTGATCACGATTTATTTATGTGATTATATTAAATATATCTAATTTTAGTAAAATGGGTGTTTCAATACATTCTCCCAAGTAGGTCTGCAATTCTAGATGAGTTCTTGTCTGCTTTAAATTCCACTGATGTTCAAATGTTAATTGTTAAATATAGGTAATTTTTGCTTTTGCAGATAGAAGTGAAATTAAAGCTTCATCATGCATGTCTGAGAGCTTTGTTTTGTTTTGAGGGATACTTCCTTGGGAACTAATTATTCTTAATCATATCTGAAAATAATATTTTTAGCAGTAATCAAAGTTAAAATTGAAATGGTATCCTTGAAATCTCTAATGCTCACTTTTCCTTTGCAACATTAAGTAGGCAAAGTTTCTTGATAAGATAGTAAAGTTTTAAAAACATCATCTATTTGAGCATGGGAAGCCCTGAAGATTTGAGTGTCACTGGATCTAACTAAGGATGTGACTTCTCAATGTGGTATTAAGATTTCTCCTTAGAACTATATTAGTAGTTACTAGTATTTTTGGATAATGTTTCTTTTTGAGAACCTGATTAAAAACATATGATATAAATATAAAAACATTTTCTATACAATTTTGAGGGACCCACAAAAGAGAACTCAGAGTTTAAGAAATAGAACAAAATTATTGTAGTAATAGGTCTTTTATCTATATTTTTCTTTGAATTTGGGGGAGAACTATCAATTTTTATAGCATTATATAGGAATTTAGTTCTGTGTAGAAAATAAGAAAATTCTCTGTATGAATACCATCAGTTTTTAATCTTGGGTTTCCAGTTTTATGAAAGGGAAGGTTCTAATTTTTCATCTTAGTAATAACAGAAAGCTTAGATTCAAATACATGCCAGCATACACACACATCACATGCATTTATGACTTTTTTTGCTTTCATTTATAAATTCAAATAAAAATGAAATTATTGATAGTATTTTTTTTTTATTTAGTGACTTTAAATGCCAGTCAAATGATTGTATTAACAGAGACATCTAAAAATAGAAAAAAAAATTCTTATTTTGCAATTCATGAAACTGAGAAGCCCAAAAGGAGATGGTGTCTTGCTTCAAGTCATCCATTGAGTTTCTCAGTGTTGAAACTGGAACTCAGCTTTCCTAACCTATGCTGACTCTTTCCACCTCCTCATGATGTCTTTATCTGATAAGATATATCTAGTCCTGTTATTCTTAATCTAATCTCTCTATAAACTGTAGTGCTACGTGGAAAATAAGGTCCTGAATGTTAATTCCAAAATTGGATACAGAAAATTACAATTTTCCTCTTCTATGTTTGTTAGTCTTGTTTGGCTTGTTAGAATCTATTTACAGTATCAATTTTAAAATATGACAATTATACTAAAGGGGTTACATTCTCCAGAATATTGTATTAGACACTTAATAGTCAAGATTTTAGGAAATGCTGATATTATAAATTCAGATCTATATTTATAAACAAAAATCATAACTTCACCATCTTTCTAACAAACCAGGGTAATGTTGATATTAAGACAAGTTTTTATTCTCTCTTTACAATGTCCATAGATGACTTCATTTTGAAGGGGAAAAGGGCAGCTTTTTGTAAACTAGTGAGACAAGAAATACATGAAGCCAAGCATAATCTGATTGGCATTAACTTTAACCACCACAGAACAATTATTGAAATGAAAGTGCAAGTTTATACACTAGAGAAGAAGCACTAACTCAGATTCAATATATATAAAGAATTGGGAAACTATATTTCATTTTATAAATAATTTTATTTATGATAAGTTCTAGTATATTTCTAGAAAACCATTGTTTTGGAACTTATGGTAATGGTTAAAAGTTGGACATGCCTTCACCATTGCTCCAGTGTTTTTATTGCACTAGGTAGTACCCACAAAGCTCGGTGAAGTTTTCTAAGGCAAAAAAAAAAAAAAAAAAAAAAAGGCAACAGAATTTCCAGCACTTAACTAAGAGGGTTCCATTAGGAGAAAAGTGAAAAAAGGTTATGTAAAACATTCAGAATTAGGAAAAAGTGAAGCAGCAATGCTTAGAATAATGGCCAATAATTTTTAAATAAATTACAGAATTTTTATATGGTTCTAAACAGAAAATTTATATTTTTGTACATACTCTAAAATATATTTTGTTTCTTTTCTTTTACAATGTAGTGAATTCACCAGTATTCTTAGAGTGTTAAGCAACGCTTTAAGACTTCTTAAGAGCATTAAATGTCTAATAGTAACAAAACTATGTGGTGAAATATGAGAGTAAAAGAAAGAAAAATCATTTAACATATTAAGTCATGATAATACTTTTCTAACTGAATATATATATGCTCAAATGTGTGACATAACTATTCTAGTTCTCGATAATGTAAAAAAAATGTTTAGTTTTTAGGAATCCTTCCACATTTTCACCCCCACTTCATTTTAGGAGACACTTCATCTTTGATCAGAATTATTTTTGACTTCTACTAAGAATTAGAGCATGATGAGCTGCTGGTTGACCTAGAGATAGCCCCTATATTTGATGGGAATCAGCACTATGTAAATGCTCTAATTTACATGTTGTCATAAAAAGAGAGCAGGAGGCTGTGCTGCCTTGCTCTACTGTGAGCCCCACACATTAACAGTCTGTCATTTCAAATTCCTATTTCTTAGCTCATATGCTTTCATCCAGGGGATGAAACATTCTTAACAACATAGATGTGAGTAACACATTCTCTTTGTTATATGATGACAATTTGCTGGTAGTAAGCAGCATGTTCATTTGAACTTAGTTATTGATTCAGTGTGGCTTTGTAACTGATTTTAGGGGTGAGAAATTTCCCCAAAGCATAAAATGGGTACTTTGCTTGCCAGCTAAGAATATACAAGAGTCAGCATATTGAGGAGGGAGAAGCAGTTAAATCTAACCATAAACACATGTATGTGGAATATAAAATAAAACATATAGAAAGAAACATAACACATCTTCCCACATATATGTTGGAACATGAACTGGGGTGTACTTTGCACTTTGTGATTAGACATTCTGCACAGTTTAATCTCTACTCCAAGGGACTATCCAGTTAGGAAAATACCAATTTCAAGTCAGCTTGGTTTCTTTATCCACTACCTCCTATTTAAAGGAATTTATTTACTTATCTGATTACAAAATGACAATAGCAGGAAACTCTTAAATTTCTTTTTTTCATTAAAATCTAATTTCAAAGTCAAGAAGGGTCACTTTTTTCACAAAAGAACATTTTATTTTTTCTTGAACTGATTTAATTAAAAAATAACTATTGGTGAGGCAACATCAGTTTATAATATATAAAGTTCATGGTGTATAATGTATAATATGTCGTCTTTATACAATATGTGCACATCATCAAAAGAGTAGTCTCCATTCATCACCATGTAATAAATCCCTTTTACCTACTTCACATTTTCCTCCCATCCCTTCTCCCTTCTGCTTTGTGGCTTTGCGTTTGTTTTTGTCTTGTTTGAATGCTTATGTTTCTTTCTATATTCCACATACAACTGGAATCTTTTGGCGTTTAATTTTCTTCATCTGACTTATTTCATTTGGTGTAATATCACAGAGG